TATATATATATAATGTCACGTGTTGCTGGATCGGTAACATATACAAGAAAAGGAAAAGACAGTCAGACTCCGCATATACATGCTCAGTCCTAATTTTGTACATGAATATGAAATACAGAATTAAGAAAACAGAAAAGATGTCTGGTTAGGGCAACCAATCCAACAAAGAATAATAGTCAGACATCCAAAAGACTACCTAACACTCTAGATTTTAGCTTAACAGACCATCTAATAAAAATTCTCCTAACATAGTATCTAAGTGCATAGGTTAAAGTATTCAGCTATCGTATGACTTTGACTGGGTCTCCATACCAGCCCTGTCCTAATGATTCAAGGGATCTAAAACACGTCACATAAGAAGGATGAAATTTAAAATAAGTGGTCTCACATATGACCTAACTTATATAATTTTAAAAACAGACGGATAATACGATAACAGTAAAAATATCCATTTTAAACTTTTAAAATAGCAGACCTACAATGCGGTCCGTGATGCATATGATGCACATTAGATGACTTAACTTGCATTGCTCATCGGGATCAACTCAACAAGCAATGCTCGTTAATGCATCACGGCTGATATGAGGTCACTCTCCTAATGAGCAGGACAAACCATCAAGGAGTATGAGTAAGCTTACAAACATGAAAGAAGCACACATTATGATTGTTCAACCGAAGTACGAAATAACCACAAAGGGCACCCAAGAAGGTGAAGCACACATCAAGCAAATAGATGCAAGGATGCTACACACAACAGTGACACGGACGAACGGGATGCACCAGTAAGAACATGCTACCTATTGAAAGGAATTATTGCTGCTTAGGGACATGAAACATCATGCAACAAGCAAACATCGACTGCAAGTGAGTTTGCATTGAGTGAACTGATACTCATAAGAAGGATTCACACTTTACCGAAGAGGAACTCACCAAGAACACATGCAAACACGCAAGATATGTAACAAAAATATGACAGTGCACCAAAGGTGGTGAGAGTGAGTGTGTCATGGATGTAGTGTCTCCGAAAGGATGGACATACCATGAAGGCAGCGACCCAAAAGATGGGTATGCTGAGGAGGTAGTGACCCAGGGATAGGCATGTCGTGAAGGCAATGACTCCACAGATGAGCGTGTCATATAGGTAGTGACCGGAGGATGGGCATGTCATGAAGACAGTGGTCCGATAAATGGGCATGTCGAGAAGGCAGTGACCCAACTATGAGCATTCCATGAAGGTAGCAACCCAATAGGTGGGTATGTCGAGGAGGCAGTGACCTGAAATGGTGGACAAGCCGTGAATGTAGCAGTTCGACAGATTGGTATGTCGAGGAGGCAATTACCTAAAAAGGGTGAGCATGCCGTGAAGGCCGCAACCTGACAGATAGGTATATCGAAGAGGTAGTGATCTGAAGGATGGGCATGTCCTGAAGGTGGCAGCCCAAAATATGGGTATGTCGAGGAGACAGTGACCCATCAATGGGCATACCATGAAAGCAATAGTTCGACAGATATGTATGTCAAAGAGTCAGTGACTTGGGAATTGGCATGTCGTGAAGGCAGCGACTCGACATAAGAGTATACCTAGGAGGCATTGACCCATAAATGGGCATACTATGGATGGAGCGACCCGCATATGGGTATGTCGAGGAGATAATGACCTGGGGATGGGCATGTCGTGAACGCAGTGGCTCGATATGGGTATGCCATGACGACAACATCCCAATAGATAGATATGCTGAGGAGGAAGTGACCCGAAATGGTGGGCATGTCGTAAATGTAATGGCTTGACATATGGGTATGTCGAGGAGGCAGTGACCTGAAAGGGTAGGCATGTCATGATGACAGCGACTCGACAAATTTGTATGTCGAGAAGGTAGTGACTCGAAGAATAGACATGCCCTGAAGTTAGCATCCCAAAATATGGGTATGCCGAGGAGTCAGTGACCAAGGAATGAAGATACCGTGAAGGCAACGGTTTGACAAACAGGTATGTCGATGAGTCAGTGACCCGAGACTTGGCATGTCGTGAAGGCTACGACTCAACAGATGGGTATATCAAGGAGGCATTGACCCAAAAATGGGCATGTCATGGAGGCAGTGACCCGATAGATAGGTATGCCGAAAAGATAGTGACCCGGAGATGGGCACGCCATGAAGGCAGTGGCCCGACAGACAAGTGTGTGAAGGGAAACTAGGAGTGCACCAAGCATGTGATGATGACCATGCAAGACGTCATGCAAGATAAATGGCACCAAAAATGTTATGTTCAGTCGTCTGAGGTATAAGACACCACTAGAAAGAATTACACCTTGCCCCAACAACAATTAAACGTCATGCTATCATAAACACATGCAATATGATGCAAAAGAAAACAAAAAATGCAAGTGGTTGGTCGACCGAGTCGTGGTGGTCGGTCAGACCGAAGAAGCGAACAAATCAATCCAGGGCAATCGATCAGACCCAAATAATGGGTGATCAGCTCGAGACGATTGACTTAACCCAAAATATCGGGTGATTGGCCCGGGACGACTGATCAAACCTAAAAAAAGGTGATCGACATGTAGCGACCGATCAAACCCAAGAGATAAGGTGATCAACCTGGGACGACCGATCTAACCCAAGACAGGTGATCAACATGTGTCGATCGATCAAACCCCAAAGATAGGGTGATCAGCTTGGGACAATAAATCGAATCCAAAAGATCGGATGATCGTGCTGTGACAACTGATTGACCTGAAATGCTCACACAGTCATGCTTACAATATGCAACATGAACCATGTGCAAAAATGTAGAAACAAACATGCATATGCAATGCAACCCAGAAACGTCTGACAACACGTCGAACTCAGCCTAACGACCTTGAATTGATTCTCTTAGATTCACGACACAATCATCTCCTGCATTGGTGAGGCATGTGAGGAGTTTCTTCCACGAGAGTTTCTTCCACGGCTCCCAAGGGAAAAATTCCGCACGACGTTGTGAAATGGGCTAGCTACAAAGTTTTTTTCATTTCACAACTTCTTAGAAAACTTTGCAAAGTGAGCTAGCTACAAAGCTTTTCTCACTTTACAAAACCTAAACATCCAAACTTCTCTACGTAAAGGTGGGGAAACCAAAGCAATGGGAGAAAGGGACTCCAACCCATGGGGATTTGACCTAAGGTTCACCACAAAAAAATTACTCGGTTTCGTAAGATGTATGAAGACTCATATGACTCTTAACCTAGGGCTAGCTGTAAGAAATCAATGGTTCATCACACAGACGAAGTTTTAGAGTTTTGTACTGCAATTGCGACATACAATGTTTCAAGTATACCTCAAGATGAAATGCTACTATAATATTTTTAGATGGACTGAAGCTAATAAGAAATCAATTTCAGTCAGTGCTCATGTTTAAAGAGAAACTTTGGAAAAAAAACATCTCCATATGAATTGATCATTTCGACATGATGGACAAAGTCATAATAACATTACTTAGTATTACTATAATTTTTATTATTGTGTTATTATGTTTCAAGTAACATATTATTTTTGACGAAGTAGAATACTAAATTTTCAATTTTTTTTTAAAAGCTGAAATTTATTTTATTATTTTGTTTGAATTATTCTTGAAACTGTATAATATATTTTTTTTCAAAAATAACTGTAATATTTTATTATTTTGTTTGAATTATTCTTGAAACTGCATAATATATTTTTTTTCCACTGTAACACAACAGATTATATAGCAATCACACTTCTTCACAATCAGCTACTTCTCTTTTATTTAATAAGTTGCAGCTGCCCAAAATAGACCACAAATTAGGTGATATTTTAGATATTATTTGAAAATTTTAATGTTGTATAAATAAATAGAATTTTTTAGATGCCACATGCAAGTTAGTGGCATTTATGGTATTTAAGTTTTGGTATGTGATAATGTGAATCCTCTTAAAATAAAATTCGGAGGCAATTTTGCTTGCGCAATCCCACCTCATCAATATGAATCCCTCGCCGTCACCCCGTCCCCACATGAACGTCGCGAACGAGTCCCATCACTATCGTATATATACCCAGAAATGTATACTTCCACAAACGAGAAAGCCAATAAGAAACACAGAAAAAAAACCTTCCCAACCCCGGAGAAAGTTACAGAAGTCTCTTCGCTGGACCGGTCCCCCCTATCAGTCTTCTCCGGCGGCCTTTTCTATCCTCCTCCTCCCTCTTTTCCAATCCCCCCTCTCGTCTCATGAAGAAGCTAACGAAATTTTTTGAGAATCTCCTGAAGCCCTTTGCCCGCCGTCCAAATGGAGGTCCCCTTCCCTCTTTTGATCAAACCCTGAATCTTTACATGATTCAGATCTGAATCAGTTTCGTTGTCGCAGAATTGAATAAGAAGGACCTAAAGGCGATCGCTGCGAGAGAGCAAAAGGCCTTCCGCTACGAAACCCTAGCAGCCGCAACCTCCAATTTCAGCCCCAAGAACAAGCTCGGCGAAGGGGGTTTCGGCCCTGTATACAAGGTAACCTAGTTTAGTTATACCCTCTCTCCATTCTGATCAATCACTGTGATAGAACAGCGAGAGAAATCGTTCTGGTCTCTTGCACTTCGAATGTTTAATGAAATATCTGATTGGGGTGTAGGGGCAGCTGGGGGATGGGCGATTGGTGGCGGTGAAGAGGCTCGGAAGAGGGTCGCGGCAGGGCGGGAAGGAGTTTACGAACGAGGCGAAGCTGCTTTCTCAATTACAGCATAAGAATGTGGTTAATCTCTACGGCTATTGCGCTCACGCGGAAGACAAATTACTTGTTTACGAGTATGTAGCCAACGAGAGCCTTGACAAGTTACTCTTCTCCGGTAAGCCCCCCCG